GGAGGGCAAAGCAGAGCCAAGCCGCGGAGCGCGTGGGCAGCGGACAGCCCTGTCCGCTGCCCGGGTGTTCCGCCGCTTTGCTTCCTCTCCCTGGTCTGCTGGAGACCAGGGAGAGGAAGGACCCCGTTCGTAACTGCGGATCCGACATAAGTCGGATCCGCGTAACTCGGGGACTGCCTGTACTATGGTTTCTGAGTGAGCTCATGCATGATCACTATCTAATTTAGGTCAGGACATGACACCTTGATTACAAAACCAAATTCTGATCTGTTTTTTTGAACATTTGGTGATCAAGCTTCTCTCTCCTTGTTTGGAGAAACTCATAGTCATTTTCTCACTAAACCTTCAGTGAAAAGTAAGACTGAAAGCTGCTGCTATTCATAGACTGGATAATACCTAATTGGCTTTTGTAATCTATGCAAGACTTTCAAAGAGGCTCTATTTTGTGCATGCACGCAACCCACCTCCCCAAGATCAAATGGTTATTTGTGCAGGTAGTTTGCACATTTAGAACACACAGCCTGGAGGCTCTTTAAAGAGGCTCTTTAAAGATTTGATCTTAAATGTTCAGAACAACAACAAAATGCCTAGCATACCTTAGACATTTGTTCATTAAATTATGCTTTCCTAGACTGGAGCAGTGAGACTGAACATTGGGTCTCCCGTAGCTTGGGAGAGTACTCTAACCACCAGGCTACACAGTTGTTTTCAGACGTGTGCACACATGAATTTTCAATTATTTATGCAAAGTGCAACTGCTTCAATAGGTGAGATTAAGGGAATCGCACATCAGACTATCCCACAGCCCAAAGGTTAGGGCGCTCACATGAAAGATGACAAATCCCTGTTCAAATCTCTTCTTCCAGTCATGCAGATGGGGGACTTGAACCAGAAGTCTCCCACATCCCAGGACTCCCCTCTGGGTTAAGAGTTCAGATGGATCTCCCCTTCCCACTAGCTGTTTTATGTGAACTTTCCTTAGGGGTATGATCAGGTGTAATCGAGGGCTCCCTACTGGGTGGGACCCTACATGTGACTTAGGCAATGAAATACCTATCTTCCATGACTTGTGACTCACTCTAAGATTTATGTAGACCAGGGGTCTCCAAACTTTTCAGCCCGAGGGCCGCATTAACTATCAAACAGCAGTTCGGGGGCCGACTACACACTTGAGGTCCAAATAAAAAACAATCAAAACATGGATGTTATTTTTAATTATTTATTTAATATTATTTTATTCAGTTATTATTTAATAACACATTGATACACTACACATGAACACCTGTATTAGTGTGAATGGTGAAATTGTTTCCTGGATGCCAAAATAGCAGACATTTCTGGCTTTAGATTTGTTGTCCCTAACATCAGCGGTGATCAGCGGCGGCTGATCTTGGCAGGATACACGTAAATTTCCGTAATTTTTTTTCCGTAGACAAAAAGGTCTCCACGGGCCAGATGAGAGGGCCTCGCGGGCCGGATGCGGCCCGCGGGCCATAGTTTGGAGACCCCTGATGTAGACAATAGATACCCAGACTGGAATGCCAAAGCCATGCATGTGCTGGGAGGCAGAAACATAGGTACAAACTTTTACTGCAAAAAACCAGCTTCCTTTTTACTGCAAAAAACCAGGTGCCTAGTGAGTAGAGGCATTTGCACAGTTAAGCAGGAATTTTGTGGATTGCAGTGGTCCCAAAACTGGGACTTAACGGCTAAAAAGGGAGTTAGGTGGCTAATTCCTTTTGTGCATCAAGACCAGATGGTCTTTTTAATTGAGACTTTTCAAATGTTGCTTGTGTAATTGATAACAGGAGTGACCAGAGCCTTGCATGGATCCTTTGTTTTTGTAGAAATCTAAAACAATAAATAAATCAAGTTTTAAAACAATTTTTAGCAGACATTGTTTTGTATATGATCATACCAAGAGTTCCTACTCTGAGAAATGAAATGTTTTGCAATGTTTGGCCACTAGATGGAGACTAAGTAACAAGAATAAAAGATATAAGTAGAATAGCATTTTTTAAGCTTAAGAAGATAAATATTTCAAGTAACTATTGGTAAATATTATGACTTTATGCAACCAGAACATTTTGCCCATTAAAACGGTCTCCATAGGTACCAGAAGAATTCCCTAGAATTGTATTGCTTGGCACAAGTCACTGTGTGAATGGTGAGGTGTGTTAACTTAAAAGACTGAAGGATTTTTCTCTGTCTGCTCAGAAAAAAAACCCACCCCATTTTTACAAGATCAAAATAAAGTGTGAACCAGTCCCTTAGCAGGTGGACTTAATATAAATAGCCATTTCTGCAAACCAAGTATTCTCTTGTACAGATTTTAGTATCCTTGCTGACATACCCCAGGTGGGTTTCCAAGATAAAACGAACTCATGACCACGTTCATAACTTGGTTTGCATTAAAAATGAGCTCAATTTTTTTCTTAAAACCAACCAGGTAAATTAGAGAATCTATTAAAAAGACTTGAAGTATTTTTCTCTGTTGTAGTTTCTCTTTGTTTAGGCTGATTCTTCTGTAGCTATTCCAGAGTGTTAGGGCACAGAGAGAGAAATGTGCACCAGATTGTGCTCTCAGTTAATAATGCCACTGACATCTGTAGAATTGTAGTAATGTAAAACTAATGTGAGATCAGAATCAAGTCCAATATTATCTGATATATTAGCTACTCAGATCTCTATGCAGATGAAGGACTCCATGGCAAAACTTCTGGTGAATAATCCCTAACATTTTATCTTATTTGCGGCATGAGGTTTAGGCAGTCCCAAAGACAATTATCTTGCCCATCGGTACCCCTGTACAAAGTATCCATTTATTAACAAAGCAAACTTAATTATTTTTATTTTTAAAAATTACCTATTCTATTGTCTAAATTAATTTTATTATTAAAACTGTGTTCACCATTGGTCAAAATTTTCAAACTTAGATGCTTGATGTTAGGTACCTAGATCTATATTTTTATGCACATAGAAAAGGAGTCTGTTTTTTAGAGATATTGAATATTGTAGCTTCCAGTGACTACATTTTAAGGTGACTAATTTTAGACATCTAAATTGGAAACATTGGGCACTGTAGATTGATAAAAATATTTTTGTGATCACCGTGTGTTACCCTAAGAAAGCCCACTCACAAGAAACAATATATCTCTCTAGTTACAAAAAAGTTTTTCCTGTTGGGCGACAGAATGTTGTCATCATGCTCTCATGCTCAGGATGTTAGGCAAGCGTAGCGAGCATGGGGTACAGCCTACTAGTATATTTTAATGTATGCTTTTTCCTTCTTTTTTAGTGTGGTATCCTTGGAAATAACCTTAAAGATTTGGTAGATAAATACCAGCATTATGAAGAAGCCTCATCTGGGCTTTTGTCAGGTCTACAGACCTCTGAAATAGCTGTGAGCAAACAACTGTCTGAGCCAATTGCAGTGGATCCTAAAAACCTCCAAAGGCAACTAGAAGAAACCAAGGTAAAAACCCTCAACAAATTAAAACACACATAGATAAAAAGAGCTGCTTTTTGCTGAAAGGCTAAAATATTCTAACTTAAGCAATTAAGGGCCACATTCTTCATATATCTATCGAGAGAGCAATAGATCTATAGAGATAGAGAGCTATAATACAGATATAGAGCTATAGATATAGAGATGTAGATATAATCTCTTATTGAGCTTGAAGTTTACTGTCTGAAGTCTCATCTGAAAATCTGTGTATTAAGGATAAAGCACATGGCAGGCTTTCACAGAAACTGACTTATGCCGTGAAGAACTTAAAATGCCATTGACACCAAGTGGTATCAAGTAACTTCTTAGTTTTCAGGTGAGGAGGTAAAAGCTGGAAGGTTTGGTGAGTTGGTGGAGACTCAGTGATTCTAATAGTTACTGAGGGGATATGATTAGGGTAGGTCTACACTCACAGGGAATGTCAAATGTCGATGTACCTGGTTTCATATTTTCCCGCCATCCCCACAGAGAGAGGCAAACGTTCCTGTCAGCTTCCCTTACTCCTCACACAAGCAGGGGTACTGACAGCTAGTGGAGGTGCCCTCTGAATTTGATTTAGTGAATCTTAACTAGACCAAATTGAAATGTGGAAGATTGATCGCAGCAGCGATCTGTTTAGTGTAGAGTTGGCCAGGATAGGTACAGTAGATTAGAACTGATGTCCATGGATGCCAGTGGTTAGTCTGACGCCCATTTGTTTGCCCATATGGTTTGTCATATGCTGCAGAGAAAAGTGTAAGAAACCTGCCACAGAAAGATATGGAAAATCTGTTCTCTACATTAGGTCTTATCCTGATCTCTAAGATCATCACTGGGGGGAAAGAAACCACGTTTTCAAATTTAGATAATTAATTCAAGATATCTGTCTTGAGGTGAAATCATTACGGAGACAAGTCAATATAGTTTGTGCCTCAGTGTAGCTAGTCAGGCCTTTAATTACATCAGCAGAAACCAGTGGTAACCCAGATAAAATATAGCTCTTCAGATTTGCAAATCTAAATTATTGCTATATGTTCATGTTTCTGTGAGATATGGTAGAAGCTATTCAGGGCAGGGTCAGAAGCTATGGTAGAAGCTATTGATCTTTGTTTTATAAAGCATTAGGTAAATTTACAACATGATAGGCAGAAGAAGAGGAAAAAGAATTAGAACATGCAAAGGCATATATGAACATTCTTAACATGGGGTGATATCTTGGCTCCATTGAGGTCAGTGGCATAATTCCCATTAACTATGGTGGAACTAGGATTTTAAAAACAATTGTCATAATTATAAGTGAATTGGAATGTGTCTCTCTCTGTCAAATGAAAATTCAGTGTGCATTTTATAATATAATTATGAATATGACAGAATTCTAATAATCATCTATGAAACCCTTGACTGAATCTGTTACCTTTCTTTCATTTTACAAATAGTTATCATACCAGATAAGTGGGTTTTTTTTAGAAACCTGGACAAGCTGGCACAATAGAGTCACCTTCCTCTTGGGAAGTGAATCCTGTACCTGTTGTGCATCAGACTAGCATGAGAAAAATCTTGACTCCCCGACATGTCAGCACTAAAACTACAACTTTATATACCAGAGCAGAATGATAGATGACACTGTCATATTATAATGATCATCGTACTTTTAAAAAGTAGCATTTGTAATTCTTTTATCATTAAAAATGTAAATTTGGAACTCTGAACTTCCAACAGTTTTAGTTACATTTGGGCTTCTGAGTTTTAGAAAAGTAGAAACAACACTGATTACAATCTGAAGCTGTTTTTAAACTCTTAATTCCATACTCCCAAATGGATTATATTCTGTATAATGCCAATTTTCATGCAACTAACACAAAAGAAGTGAGTCCTGGGTCTCCTTTATGAAACTCCTACACGGGTTACTTGCAGCAGAAAAGAACATTCAACCAGTGTGTGCTGAGAAGGAGGGGGAAGTGCATAGGCTCAAAAGAGTCCAAGAAAGAATAAAAACAGGAGGTTCAGAATAAAGAAGGCCAATTAGTGAATGCAAAACAAAGAGAATTTTTGAAAAAGTCAAGTGTTGTAAATTAAAGTTGCCCCTGTTGGCTGACACGTGCAGATGATCATCTATCCAGACACTGACATTTGCAGCATCAAGATACACTTTTTATAGGGCTTAACTATTCTTAAGAAAAATTCTTCAGTGTCTTTGGCACAAACTTGCTTGCTTTCTGTCACTATCAAAGGTCTTCGAGTTCAGCCTATTTTAATGTTATTTGTTTTATTTTTTAAACACAATATTTATGGTTAGTGCAAGGAAAATGCCACTTTATGTTTGAGGGTTTTTTCATGGCAGCTGGAGTAACATATTAAAGTATATCAATGCCTTCCTCCAGATAGCAATACCTCGACTAAAATGATTATATTTCCTGAACCATCATGATTTCCATATTCAGGTATGGACCTGTCTAACAGCTACCTGAAAGTGCATAGCGGTACCACCAATACAGGATGTAAAGGATGATGAATATAGCATTGAAAGTATATGCAAAATCGCACAATAGGTAGGACATGCCAGCATCAGAGTTTCTGCCCTTCAGAACTTGTATTCAGACTAAAGCACAATACAATATAAACCAATTCAAACAATTACCATATAGGTGAATGCAGGGTTTGTGTTCTACTGTCAGTAGAAGATTTATGGCACCAGATGCAGCAGGGTAAAGTTCATGCAGTGTTCTTCTTGATGTAAGGCATGAGATGCCTTCTTGATTCCTCAGTAAGAAGCACTGCTGTAAACCTTCCCACTAGTGCCATTGATCCACTAGGTCCTATTCACAGTGAAGCAAGACAGGCATTCTCATTGCCCTTTTATGACCTCTGCAACACTTGTTCAGCCTGTCCTCAGCCACCTCACTGCAGCTGCCTCTTTGACCACTCTTCTGTCCAGAAGCATGGTAACCTGCTGTACCCAAAGCTGGTGGTGCTGCACATGATAACCTGGCTGCTGTGTGGCTGAGAAGAGAGGAATGGCAATGTGCTGGTGTTTAGCAAGTCCTGTTGGGCATCAGGAAGCTTTCCATCAGAGTTGCTTATATGGCAAAGTGGAAAAACTTGACATGTTGGGCCTCTGACCATCTCATTGATGCAGAAGAGGCCTTGCTGCAGGGTATCTTGGAATATTTGCTTCAGCTTCAACTCCAGGACTTGTCATTGTCCTAAGTCAAGGTACAAGTGATGGCCATTTCTGCTCAATCTTTCTACGCAG